AAATTATTAAGGTCTTCATGTGGAACCTTCAATTTGAGAAAATTTGATAATTAATAAAAGTACAATTAAGGGGAAATTGCGATGAAAAAAATTTGCCAGTGGATTATGGTTCGTTTGAATGTCGAAAATTTATGAAGTAAATTCAATGATATTTTTCAGGGTCTTGGCTGTCTTTCTCATATCTGTCAACTTTCACATGGTGAACCAAAAATTGATATAAAAAAGGTACAGTTTCAGTTGTAAGATGAATTAAAAAATGAGTTTAGAATGGAGAACTTGAAGGTTATTGAGAAAGTCACAAAATTGACAAAATGGACTTCATTGTGATTGTTTTGAACCCAATTTTCAGCTTAGAATATGTCTTGATTCAGTAAACTTGAGTAATGTTATTTTGCTTTCTCATTATCCAATGATTAGTATTGTTTGAATAGGTTACAAATTAAATGAAGCCAAATTCTTTTCTCATGTAGACGCATACCAAATAATGATAGAAACATTTTGAGTTACACTAGGTGTGTTGGTCTTTGCGGACAATATTCTTTGTATCAAGATGGAGTAGTAGAAAGCCAAAAACTTTCTTTCCCAACAATATTCTTGTATTTGTATTTCATCAGTTCGGACTTCCATTGTCTAATATAATATAAATTGATTTGAAATTCCTGAAAGAATCTGTAAAAAATTAAAAAGATTAACCGAAAAATAACAATTTTCATTGAACAAATAACTGAAATTACAAAGTACAAAGAAATAACATACAAGAAACAACCAAAAAAATAAAAAATTGAAATATTAATACAAGCTGAAAATTAAAAAATATTATTAACAAGAAATGAAAATTAAAAATTAAGAGATTCCAAACCAAGTTACGTCACGACATTTCGATTGTTAGTATCCACAATCATCTTCGGGTGATAACTGGACTTATTCCTGCAAGATCTGACTATTTATAGGTCTTTCGAGTGCTTTCACCTATCCCCTCTTCCCTCTCTCGGCATCATTGGTTTCAGCGGGAGATGACTGTTTGGCGGGAGATGGTCGTTTTCCGCTTGATTAGAGGTTTCCATATGTTACGTATCTCTACGCTAGCTTGGCTAAATGCGTTGGTGTACACCATATACGCGGCTTCTTTGAATTTACTCCTAAACCAGTGTTCCTCCTTGTGGATGATTTCAGCTTGAGCCCACTTGATGTTATGTTGATGACTCCAAACATGCTCTGCTATTCCGGATTTGCTGGTTTCTCCTCGCTGTGTGTGTTTCTTGTACTCAGCAGTGCGAACTTTCAATGGCATCTTAGTTTCATCAATGTATGATTCTCCGCACTCGCAGGGTATCCGGTAAAATGTTTTCGGGAGGCTGCTACGGATAGTGTTCCCAGATCTGAAGCAGGTCCTGATGTTATACTTGGACCCAATCCTTCTTATCCTTTCCGATAATCCTCTGATGTAGGGAAGTACAAGTACTGGTTGTGGCGGCTTCTCTTCCTTGTGGAGCTCTTGCTGTCTTCTAGCTAAAGTCTGTTCTACCATCACTCTGGAGTAACCATTTCGTTGAAGGTCATTCTTGATGATGCCTAGTTCCTTTTCGAGACCTTCCTTTGTATTCCCTACATCAGAGGATTATCGAAAAGGATAAGAAGGATTGGGTCCAAGTATAACATCAGAACCTATTTCAGATCTGGGAACAGTATCCGTAGCAGCCTCACGAAAACCAGGCCACCAAACGCGGACTGCGATTCCAAAAATTGCATTTACCGGATACCCTGTGAGTGCCGGAAATCATACATCGGTGAAACTAAGAGGCCATTGAAAATTCGCATTGCTGAGCATAAGAAACACACACAGCGTGGAGAAACCAGCAAATCCGGAATAGCAGAGTATGTTTGGATTTATCAAAATAACATCAAGTGGGCTAAAGCTGAAATCATCGACAAGGAGGAACACTGGTTTAGGAGAAAATTCAAAGAAGCCGCGTATATGTTGTCCAACAACTCAACAACGCATTTAGCTAAGCTAGCGTAGAGATACGTAACATATGGAAACCTCTAATCAAGCGGAAAACGACTAACTCCCGCCAAACGGTCATCTCCCGCCAAAACCAATGAAGCGGGAAGAGGGAAGAGGGGATAGGTGAAAGCACTCGAATGGCCTATAAATAGTCGGATCTCGGAGGGTCCAGTTATCACCTGAAGACGATTGTGGATACTAACAATCGAAACGTCGTGACGTAACTTGGTTTGGAATCTTAATCTTTAATTTTCATTTCTTGTTAATAATATTTTTTAATTTTCAGCTTGTATTAATATTTCAATTTTTCATTTGTTTTCGTTGTTGCTTGTATGTTATTTCTTTGTAATTTCAGTTTTTTGTTTAATAAAAATTGTTATTTTTCGGTTAATCTTTTTAATTTTTTTACAGATTTTTTCAGATATTTCACATCAATTTATATTATATTAGACAATGGAAGTCCGAACTGATGAAATACACCACGAAACATTGTCAACCACCTTCAAACAAATTTTTGTATTTGGTGAAAATCGTAAAATTCATGGTGAAAGATTTACATTGTGTTTTTGAAAGTGTTCGTATGGTTTATATTATATTAGACAATGGAAGTCCGAACTGATGAAATACACCACGAAACATTGTCAACCACCTTCACACAAATTTTTGTATTTGGTGAAAATCGTAAAATTCATGGTTGAAGATTTACATTGTGTTTTTGAAAGTGTTCGTATGGTGAATTTGAAATTTAACAAAGAAAAAGTTTAATGCTGTTCAACATAAATAAAATATGGTCATGTTTCCAATTGTCAAAAAAGTTGAACCAGATTATGATAAAATCCTAGCAATTCGTGAACTGTCTAAAAATGTTCAACATCTTCAACGTTTATTTGGGATGAGTTATTATTTAGGGTTGTTTATGAAAAACCTTTCAAATGAATCGAATGTTTTGCTCATCAATAAAAAAAATCAAGTTTGTATTGGAATGAGAATCATGAACATTTATTCAACCGCCTTAGGAAGGTCAGTAGTATGACTTCTGTTTCGAAACGATGCAAATAAATCAATAGTTTAGTCAGTTGATGCTTCAAAAACAGCTGTAGGAGCGGTTGTGACTCCAGATAAAAAGTTTTATGAAAGAATGGGATATGCAACATTTTACAAGTCCATTCTCCCAAATCTAATGGGCAAGCCAGAAGTTCAGTAAAAATTTTAAAATATATTGAAGAAATGTTTCGAAAATAGTGGTGATCCCTATGTTGATTTATCGCAGTACAGAACTTAAATACACAACATAATATTTCGAGAAATATGTGATGTTAGTTACTAATACTGCACATATAATTGAAACCCAAACTTATTTCATCAAAAGAATATAAAAATGGTATGCGAAAAGGTAACAGAAAATATGAAAAACCACCATACCGAAACTTGGAAGCATATTTAATTAAGAAAAATCCATTTTCAGTGTTGATGCCTGCAATCATAAAGAAAAAATACAGCTCTTATGTGACAGATATCACTTTTTTTTGATAAAATTGCATCTTATCCTCAGATATCCGAAATTCAAAAACCACAACTATCGATCTATCTCAAAGAACTTCATGTTCTAACTATGAAATGTCTATTTGTGATGCACTGTTTGGAACCTTCAGTGTAGTAATGAATATTTGATCTTCCCCTTGAAGATGATCACTTGGTGATTGAAACACGTGTTGAGGTGTTAAAATAACGGTTTGGTGTTGGGATGAAAGTAATATTCAAGTGTCTATTAACAATACAGAAGATGAAAACGAGGACCCACTCGGGGATGATAGCAGAAGATTTATAGCATCTGAGAAAAAAGAAGTGTTTGAACTCAGTATTTTTTAATATTGTTGTTAGCCTTTTTTGTGTTTTTTACATACTTTCTGTTTTTCAGATAATTTTATGAAACTTGTTCCAGAAAAGGAGATGTTAAATATTTATGTCAATATAAACATTCTGTTAGTTACTGAATTAATAATATTTTTCATCAGATCAGCAATGAAGGCGATTGTTGTTATTAAACTTAATAAAAGCCATTAAATTTATAAAAATACTTGGTCCATCTCAATACTAACAGAAATATATGAAGGGATAAACTGGAGAAAGTTTTGAATGAAATTATTTTTATTGAAATCAAGATATTTATTGTTTGTTTCAAAGAACATTGAACCGCTGATACCTAACTCAGGAATGGTTTGTCGGATTTCAAAAAGTAAATATAAACACGAGTTTTGGATATAGAATTGAAAGATTTATCAAATGACGTAGCACAATACAACCCTTTGCATTTGAAAAAAAATTATAGCGCCTTGTTGGCGACGAGTGATGCCACACTTATTTTTCTCATTGTAAAAAGCTCTAAAATGAGACCTTTTCACTTGAACTCTGTTAATAGTTGAGAGGTAGGGACTTTTTACGTTCTCGTTGTATATTGGAAAAAAGTCATAAGGTTGCAAATAGTAAAGCACATCTCAGAAAGGTACTGTACAGAAAATTACAGTTTTCTGTAATTACAGAAAATTAATCAAGTTCCATAGTAGTTTGACATACAATCTATGAAAATCATTTTTTTAGAGTGTTTTAAGTCTTCATGTAAGAAAATACCAACTAATAATGTTGGTTGTTAATTTTTGTTTCAAAAACAAAATCAAATTTCGTCGTACTAAGTTCATACTTATTGCATCACGTTCTTATATATATTTTTGCATTCGTTTTTGTACATCATTTGCATATTGTAATTCTGATTTTATTACCCATGCGTTTTATGAATTCAAAAAATCAATTATCTTTTATTACTGACTCATATCAATAATAAAAAAAAATTCTGCCTGATTAATATTTGAATAAAAAAAAAAATGTATAAAAAATTTTCTTATTCATCTTTGGGTTACTTTACTCTGCAACTACTTTATCGCTTTTGTGATTATCATGGCTTTCTTTGTACATTTGCATGCTGTCATTCACCTTTCAGAGCCCATCCAACTCTCAGTCACTTGCCTCTCGGGCTCGACTCTTCTGTCACCACAACTGTGATTCTAGCAATGATCAAAGTGACGATGCAAATCCCTCTAAGAGATCGAAGAAATCGTGTACATCCAATCATACAAGTGATAATGATATAGATAAAGATAATAAAAGGAGACAATCGGAGCCTGATTTAAGTATTAGTGGAGATAATATAGTTCAGGACATATATCTAACTAGCACACCAGCATGTTTACCATTGCGAGCATGCCCAGATATTGTTTTCACACCAGAGGCGCAAGACCGAAAATCAATGTCTCCCATTACACGCTCTACTCAGCGAATGACAAGAGCTATGCAGGTTTGATATTCCTTTTTTTATGCTTCTACTGCATGTTGCTCTCTATGTGTTTTACATTGTTTGATTGTTGCATTTATATGTGCTTGCGATGGATTAATTCTTAACAATATAAATTATTTATTGGTATTTAAATAACAGTTTATTGAGTTAGTAACTCCAGTTACTATCGAACCTGCCTGAAGAAGCTATCATATACTGAAACATGTCCCTGTTTTGTAAACTGTTGAGTGAAAAATCTCACAATGAAATTTTATTTGAATATGTTTTATGTTATAATGGATTTTCATCAAGTATCATCCAATTGTGTAATTGTTAGTCAAAAATTCAATATTGTCCTATACAAATATTCATACTAGAGAGAAAAAACTGCTGACTTGGCTTTTTTGGTATGATGCCTCATTTATTTATTTATTTGAACGGGTTCACCCCTTTACAACAATAAAAATAGTACAATAGATTATATAAAGTACAATTTTCGAATAAAAAAATATATACTAAATACTAGCTATATTAAAATACATAGCGTTAGAAATATTCAATAATATTGATGTATATCAGTTGACAGTGCTTTTTTAAATGTATTTATAGAGAGACACCAAAGAAGTTAAAATAAGAATTGTTTGCCAGTCTGAAAGTCTTGGCAGTGGACTGTTTAATTTATATGGTGAACATTTTCAGAAAAAATACTTTTGTCATCCCTAGTATCACTTTGTTTAATCTCAAAACTAAGATTACTCAAATGCTTTGGACAGTCGATATCACCATAATGATGTGTCATTTTGAACAAGTCAATTTTCTATTGAAGGAATTTGAATATTAGCTCCGATATCAAAAAAAGTATAATTCCCTATTTAAGACCCAATTTGAAGGCAATGGTACTTAAGAACTTTTTCTGAACTGATTTAAGAGATTGTTTATATATGCAATACGATGTAGACCAGATGATAGAAGCATAATCAAATTCAGAATGAATTAAACAATAGTATAGGATGTTCAGAGTAGTAGGTGAGAAGTCTTTGTCAATTCTAAGAATGAAACCAAGGAGTCTGTAACATGATTGTACCACTCTGAATATATGGTTCTGGAAAGACAGTTTTGTATCCAAAAGAATGCCGAAATCTTTCTCAACCCGAACTTGATTCAAGGACAAACCGTTTATATAAAAATCAAAAATAATGGGAGAAATAGAACGGGAAAAGAAGATGGCAATACATTTGTCTTTATTAAGGTTTATGCCTTTCGCCTGACACCAATGAGCTATTTGTTTTAGGTCTTCTTGTAGAAAATTACAATCAGTTTCAGGTTTTTATAGACATAGTGTAATTTCTGCTATAACTTTCGTCGTTTTTAACAGATCCACGTGTAAGAGAAGCTATAACGAAAAAGTTTTACATGAATAACTTCCTGGATTCTACGAATTCTGAAAAGAAGAAGCTGTCCAAGTGATTTGTAAGGTGATGAAATCTGGATGACTAACTCGATAGCCCTAGTAGGAACAATAGAGTCTCCATCTGGAATTAAACAGATAGATGATAATTACTCGATCCACAGAGTTCTTGGTTCATTGTAATTCTACTTTAAGGTGAATTTGAAGACGAAAGTTCTGAAATAAACTCAACGAAAATAATCTCCGTACGATAATGAGTATTTATGATTCATTTGTTCCTGATTGAAATATCAGAATCAAGTCGAAAATTTTGATGCAAGTGGCTTGGTGAATTGGAAATGATTGAAATGAAATGCATAAAAATCATTTAACAGTATGGAAAAGTGGTTGAATGAAGTACCTTATACTTACAGATATCAATGAACTACCTTATACTTACAGATATCACAATTCTACGATTTATAGTTTACTCAAATAAAAAGCCTCAAAAATCGAACTCCACACTTTCTGAGACAGCGATGAGAAAGCATTGGCAGCAGTTTCTTTTCTTCGGGTGATTGGAGGATCTGGAGAAGTAGATAAGATAGATAAGAGACAGACAGCATTTCGATATCACGATAGTAATTATGTATGTATGACCATTTATTAAAAAAGGCTTAGATTGGTGAGGTGTACAGCATGGTGGCTAAAATTCTTGAAAAAATATAGAAAAAGTAAACATTCTAAAGATATTCTGAATAAGCTGAATGTGGGGGAAGTTGAAGAAGCCGAGAAACTGGATAAGGCAATGTCAACTGAAGACTATTCCTGAGGAAATTGAAAGTCGAGAAAGGAAAAGACAGATACAAAGAAATAGCAGACTTTTCGATTTCCATCCCAAGTAAACTCAAGTTTTTGCTTGAGGAAGCTATTGTATGGCGAAACACGTGTCGCGGTTTTTGTAAAATCGTTAATAGTGAAAATATTACAATAAACTGTATTAATTAGTTTTAGTGATTTTTTATTTCGAGGAGGTAACTTTCATCGTTAGTTCGTTAAATTTTAATGCCAAGAAAATATATCGTTTCCCAAATCTCTAATGTTTCGAAATAATTAATCAACATTTTGCCGATTTAATCTATAACTGATTCTCAACAACTTCGTCTTTGTAGCTCAAAACGTAAATAACCGTATACCCCGAAAAATTGTCAATAAAAGTCACAAAATAACGCTTCCTGCCAGGTGTATCGATTCTCATAGGATGTGTACCAAATAAAGACACTGACCGTTTTTCGTATTTTTTTTAAAGATCTATTTGTCAACTTTCCTTTCAAACAACTGGTGCACTGGAAACATTTGAACCAACCATTTACAACAATGCCTGTAGCTATCTTCAGAGCAAATAGCTTTCTGATGTGCACGGGATTTTTATGTCCTAAACGACTAGACTAACGAGGTCTTACCTTATAACGTGTGATTCCTAAGACAAATAGTAATTTGAATCCATTATTTTCTAATTCACCCTAATTTCACTCCTAATTTCATACCTTACTGGAGGGGAGCAACCCTTTCGAAAATTTTAAATAGCATGGGGTGGTGAGTTATAGCTCATTTGATAGGGGGTTTTATGCTCTATTCAACCGTGCAAAGGAATTGAAATTTGCTACATTATTTCAAAAGTTATGATTGTTTGAGAATAACGACAATTAACATAGCGCAATCACCCTTAGAATTAAAAATTCGGCCCTGTATGATATCGGTTTTGGTTCAGACGAAAAGTGAGCCGTATTTGTCATTTTCGTAGATATTAACTGCATGTTGTAGGTGTTTTTGGATGTTTGAGGATGAATGATATCAAGGAGAGTGCGAGTCAGTGTATTCTAGCTGTTATTTGTGCTTGCCATTCATCTTCAAACGCACCACTTGCGTTGAATGAGAAATGCAAAGCGATTGTTATTTTAGGTGAAGCTCGTCGCAATTATCATGATGCTCTACTAATGTTCAATGAACGTTTTCCAGATCGCCCTATTGATAGACATTATTTCAAACAATGAGGTTTGTGAGGTTTCACAGATGACACTATTGAAAGTTCTAAAAAATAAATTTCATCCCTACGAAATGAAAATGGTGCATGAACTGGCGGACGATGATCCAGACCGCCGTCTAGAATATTGTGAAATTGTCTCTGACAATATTTTGCAAAATCCCAGGTATTTGAAACACATGTGTTTCAGTGATGAGGCTACTTTTTTTAAACGGTGACGTGCATAGACAAAATGTGAGGTACTGGTCTGATGAAAATCCTCAACTTTTTCGCGAAACTCATCCCAGTTTACCCAAAAAGTTAATGTGTGGGCAGGAATACTGGGTGACCACATTATAGGTCCGTTATTCATTGAGGAAAGTCTGACTGGTGCCCTCTGTTTGGAAATTCAGTGATAGATCAACTGATAGTGGCAACTGTCGAAAATAATTTGGACGAATTTGACATGGACATGATTCTGCAACAAGATGGAGCTCCTCCTAATTTTGCATTTGCTGTGAGGACCTATTTGAATACTGTTTATGCAGGACGATGGATCGGGCGCCGAGGATCTATGGTAACCCTTATGGGGTTACCTAAAATCTAAAGTCTACGAAGCTTGAATGTCACTCTATTCAGGAGTTGCGTGCGCAGATTACGGAAGTGTGTGCAACAATTACTCGCAATACTTTGCAAAGCGTCCGGACTGAAACTGAAAATAAACTCTATTTTTGCCAGGAGGTCAACGGGAAACATTTACTGTAATAACAGAAAAAAATAGTGTTAGTTTAGTTGTTTTTCTGTTTATGGTGTAATTCTTTGCACGGTTGAATAGATAATAAAACCCCCTTTCAAATGAGCTATCACTCACTACTCCATGCTATTTAAATGTTTCGATAGGGTTGCTTCCCTCCACTAAGGGATGAAATTAGGGGTGAATTATTCAAAAATATACACTGTAGAAATCAAAAATCAACGTTTCATGGGTTTTCACAAAAGCTGCGATTCAATGTTAACAGGCAATAAGTGTGCCACTTATCAAAGAATACATATGCGCTACAGTATACTGATTGATACAAGGTTTGATATATTTATCTCGTCTATTATTATCATAAGCACCTAAATCATCGTCATTAGTCTTTCTCTAGAAAATCCTTGTGCCTCCCACAATTGGTAAATGTAACTTATCTTAACAATCATTGTTTAAATCTGAAGTTGAATGCAAAATAATCCCTAAGGCAACCGGCAGAACAAAATCGAATAATCTCAAATTCAATCAAATTAGATGTCACACTAACACCTGAATGCCTGTAATTAACAAAAAACTTTAACCTCATTCATACAGTACCAATGAGGGTTCCTAACAGCAGTCATTCGCAAAGCCAAGATTGGACATTGATCACCAAACGGCTTTCTGCCTTTGGACTTCCAATCAAAAGTTGAAGAATAGGAGTATTAAAAAAAAAAAGAAAAAATAAGTAAAGGGAAAGGGACTGGTAGTGAGATTTGTCACTCAACAATGTTCAATAAGTACCACCTAATTTATATTGGGACAGTGAAGAATGAGACATTGTTTCAGTGTGAAAAATGTGTAAATTTTCAGAATATTACATTAGCCACAATGTGGTGTGAAATAACAATAGTGATTGTAATGAAGACAGCCCTTTATAAATCATGGTGGAAAAACATTGTTAAATTCACTTATGTAATATTTACCTATTTGATTGTCATTTCCCAATGAATTTTCACAGATTCCACTCTCATTACACAATGGATTTTCACGTTTTCAATTTTCATCATCATACAAAAATTAGGAATATTGAATGTCTTCATATAAATTTATTTTTGATTTATATATCAAGACAATTGACAACCAGAACTTATCAAATGAAAGTTGAACTGTCCAGGCATATTATTATTTCCAATAAATCTAAAAATAAAATGTATTCTGTATAAAAATTGAAAATATACACTTTAGACATAGAAAACAGTGGCATCAACATACGTTTTATTTCATAGAAAACAAGAAAATTTTCTTATATTAATTTCTGAACACTTGCTATTTTCTAAGATTTTCATTTCGGAAATTTAAAAAATCTGGTGATAGAATTGAACACTTTTTTCTTCACTGGATTTAGCTTTTCATATTTTGAGCATGAATCTGATTGAATCTCCACCTCAAATGTTATTATAAATCCTTTGGGAAATTGTATGTTCAGAAAAAAATACAAAGCAGAGACCATTTTCAGTGCTTCTAAGAAAGTTTAAAATTCTTTTACTTTTTTCTTCTCTTGCTATATCTAAACGTGACGAACCAAATTCCTACAATACAAGTGAACATTGTTAGTGTTTTTTTTTTCATATACTTTTGAAAAATAATCTAATTGATTTCTCTGACAGTCGTGTTAGAGCAAAATAACAAAGTGACAATCCTTTTTTTTTCTATGATTGCGGATAAGTGGTGTAGCTATTATTGACACACAAAAAGACTTTCAATCAGGTGCAAGTGCTGATTTAAATTATAGTTCATAATAATACACATTCATATAATAACAAGTAACATCTCAACATTATCACTTAACTTTATTATCATTTTAAATAGGATGTTCTGCAAAATTACTTCAATGTTCATCAGTGTGTTACTTGAAACTTCCGCTTTATGAATATTGAGGTTCAAATTTTTTTCATGTCCATGTACTACTTGTGGTTTCATTGTTTTTGTGTTTGGAATTATATTTGTTATATTTTCGGATTCTTGTATATTACATGAAGTTGGTAACATAATTCTACAAGAGGCTCAATATATCTCGGAATTTTTTGTAAATTAAATTCATGGTGAAAATCACAGTAAATTGTATTGGAAAGTTTCAATAAGCATTTTCATCATGTATCAGCCATTCAAATTTACCACTTGTCGATATAAATAATTTTTGGTTGGAACCCGTCACTTTTGGTTAAAAAAATGCAGTTAGCATAAAATATTGAATATGTTTTTATGGTTATTTATGTAAAACATCATTGAAAAGTAGTGTTTTTGTTTTCCTACTTTGGCACAAATGGCAAGTATCCCAATTAAACAGACACATCCTTTAATTGATACATTTTTGTTGTTTTCATTTAATTCAACATGAAAGAGCAAATTTGAGTTTATAATTAAATTTCTACTCATAGTATTTATTATTTCCAATTTTCACTGTCACACCCAACAATGGTTACAATATAACACTATGTTACAATGGTAATAATTTTTAATAAATTGATGGATGTCGCCTTTACTAGGTGGTAGGAAATCATAATGAAAAAAGGATAATTGATACTTTCTATGTTTTTTACCACTAATATTTATAAAACCTCATTTCTCGTCTAGCAGCTTGGTTTAATCCTTAGTACAGTGCTTACTTTTTTAATATTTCTCATTATGGCTGATTCATACACCAAACTTTTACTTTAATAATAAGGATTGGAAATTGATAAATTTCGTCAGTTACACGCGTTATACAATAAGGTGAGAAACGAATACAACAATTTATTAATTAACGCGAAGAAGGACACGTACTCAAAGAGACTTACCCATTCTAATAATAAATCAAAATGCATGTGGAGCATTTGCTCTGAAATAACGGGAAGAGTTCGAAATGAAGAGTGTTGCATAAAAGGTGACCCAAACGCAATAGTTAATAATTACAATAAATATTTGGTAGACATGGTACCTCAATTACTAGCAAATTCCTCAAATATTCCATTTCACTGTGATATCCCTGTAAATATGCAGTCGACGTTCGTGAGACCCATAACCCCAGAAGAAATAATAGAACTATCTAGAAAACTAAAAAATAAACATTCCAGTGGAGAAGATGAAATTCCTGCTAGTATTATGAAAAAAAGCTCAATTGCCATTAACGAAATCATAGCATACATCATCAATAATTCACTGAAATATGGCATATTCCCAACAGGATTAAAAACCTCCATTGTGAAGCCAATCTTTAAAAAAGATGATCCAGAGAGCCGACCAATAGGCCNAAAAAAATCTGTACCTTCTTGTTTGACGCCATTTCATTCTATGTTACCGACCTTTTGCAATAAAAGTTTGTAATCTACTCTGAAATAAATCTGTTTATTATTATTTATTATTATAGACATGAATTTACGGTGTTTTGATTCAGCAACATTTCTCTCAGAATATTGTTAAAGTAAAAGAAAAAGTGGAAGAGTAGTGAATTGACTTACATTGGTAGAACTTCCTTAAAGTAAATGATAAAGTAAAAATTTTGATGTATGAATCTTGATGTCAAATTATTAAATGTTATATTTTGTTCTCTTAATCCTCAATATGGAATTAAATAAAGTGTGAGAATCACTTATATCTATATTATTCAAATAAGCCCATCGATATTATTTAATTGTAATCAGCTTCAATAATTAATGTATTTTATTCATTTTATTGTATCATTAAATTGAGCAATTGTTTTTATAGGAGACTATGATGACACCCAGAAGTCGAAAACCAGTCTTGTTATTCTCTGGTACTAACATAAATACATTGCACAAAAACGATCAAACCAGTTATATTATGGGTAATCTCACAGAAGAAAATTCATGTGAAAGTGAAACGCCCGATACGAAAAACATTAAAAAATCAAAAAGTGAAGGTGATATGGAAAAAGAACCAAGAGAACATGAAATAGTAAGACTCAACAGTATAGAGAAAGAATTTCAAACAGAAAGATCTGCAATGTAACAATGATCAGTTTTAAATGGCTTCAACTTTATTTTTCATCATTCTAATGACTTTGTCGTGTACGTGCATGTGTGTGTGTCAACATATTTTATCGAGTATTAGACATCATTATTAATTAACTGAAAACGCGTTTCCTTCCAATGAATAAAATTGTTTCAGTTCAATCTGCCACTTTGCAAAATTCAAATGATACTGATCTATTAAATTAAACACGAGTGTTTTGTTTATGCAAATGTTGGTCATCGTTTCTTAGCCCAATCCTCAAAACCATTTTTTTTATATATCGGAAGTAAATCCGATGTTTCCCTCTCGAAATCTTAGTAATACTCCTGGTAACGAAGTCACCATTCTGGAGTAACGAATTCAGTGAAATTCCATTTACTGTTGTGGCAACATCCCAAACGAGTCTGAACTTTCTGGTTTGTTCGGAAGGTAAGTACCAAACTCTTTCAAATTGCTGAGCCAATTCTCCTGTAGTAAATTTTTTTACATATCCTTTTTTGGTGAAGTCTTCAAGTTGTGTATTTATTTTCATACCCAATTTTGAAATATGCCTGATTCGTTTTTCCATACACCCCAACCTTTGAAGGGCCATTCCACAGCTATCAGGAAACTCAACAGTGTCATATTTCCACATCAAGCCAATTTTATAATATTTTTTCTCTTGAACTCTTGTATAGACTGCATTATGTATGTATTCTGCTCTCCTCAGCAAAGCAATATATTCAATTTTTGTTTTTTTTTTTAATAAGTCGTTAATGTACAATAAAAAGAGGGTTGGAGACAATTTGGATTCCTAGGGAACACCAGCGTCACTGGTAAGGAACGTTCTTCCAGGAAGCTGAAGAACCATTCCCAGAAATGATCCGACAAGCCATAGCATCCAAGTTTGTCCAGCAAACCCTCATGCCACACACGATCAAATCCGAACGCATAAACTTAAACTGGTGTAATCCATTGCCGGTGGAAAAGGCAGTCTTCTCTTTATCCTCGAGGCGAACTGCCGCCTGCCAATATCCGCTTTTCATATCTAATGTTGAGAACCATCTGCATTCAGCCAAGATGTTCAGGGTATCATCTATTCAGGGAAGAAAGTAACTGTCCTTTCTGATGACTCTTTCTTAGTCACCAACACAACAGCAGGTGACGACCAGGGGCTGTTTGATTCCTCGATTACTCCATCCTTCAACATATCCTCAACAATGGATACAGCTTCGTCTTGTTTTGCGAAGGGAAGTCGTCTCGGTGGTTGAGGTATGGGATTGGCATTGCTAGTATTGATGCGATGTTGAACTAAATCCGTTCGACCAATGATTTTGCTCTTCACAAACATATCGTTCTCTTTCTCAACGAATCGGGTGGCATTGCATAGTTCTTCTTCAGACCGATGGCTCCACGTCTTCTTGAAAGAGTATATGAGTTCCTTTGCGGGTTGTTGAGCACGCTGTAGAGGGACTTGTTCTTCGATTCTGGAGATTTTCACGGTCGGTTCGCAGGTGCCTAATACTAGCCCTTTCTTGAGAGTCACTTTGTTATTATTAGGGTTGATTATCATATCACTGGAATGGTCTGATTATTACCATTCACGGGGGATCTGGCCACGATAATTCCTGCTTTAGACCCGTTGGATGGTTCTATCAATGCTGTACTGAAGCCGCCAAGTCCAGCAATTTCCTCTTGAATACTTTTCTCGGTGTTGGGACAGATTCTGGAATCTTCCAGTATAACCACCTTGGCGATATCATAAGGCTGTGAGAGTACGTCGAGCAGAATTTCCGCATTTCCGACTTTCAGCAGTTTTTTCCTTTCCGCAGGGGGACATGATGTCTAGTCCCAAAATGAATTCATCGACGATGTTGGCCACTATAATACTTTATAGTTTCTATTTCGCAGATTCAAAGCCTAAGTCTCACTTCAGCTTCTCCATAGACTATATCAATCTATTTCCAGTGGCTGTTTCCAGAACAGGTACTACTGATACTTTCTTCAAACTGCTTCTGTTGGAGATGTCGGCTCTCATTACTGACCCCGTTGCTCCACTATCGATGGTTAAAAGGCACTGATAATTATTCAGAAACCCGTCGACAACTAAACTGTTACTGTTGCGTGCTATCATGGAAATTGAATACCTGGGTACTTCCCTTAAGGCAGGCTGAATTTCGTTTTTCCAAATTCCGACGCTCCAGTTCGGGTGATCCCGAACGCCAGTCTCTTCTTTCGTTGGATGTTGAACGTTATCGACAGTCCCGCCTTAAATGCCCTTCTTTGCCGCAGTTACAACATTTAGGACGCTCTCTTATCTTGGGTGCAGTTCCATTCATCAAATATTTAAAGAGTTCTTCAAGACCTACCATGAGTTGATCTGTTTCTTCGTCTTCCTTTTCATTGATGGTCCTCACTAGAACTTTTCGTTGTTGTCGCGAAGCATTTTTGGCAGCTTCAAATTCTAGGGCATTCAATGTTTTATGACGTGCCATCCTCATAGACTGCTGCAGCTCTGTGTCATGAACCCCATCGATGAAATTATGGACACTAATCCAGTGGGTGAAGTTGTCAGGTGCTTCTGAGTAAGGGAGTCTCACCAATTTTTCGACTTCGGCCCAAAACTCCTGCAGACTCTTTGATGGACCTTGAGTTCTCACCTTCAGTTGAGCTTGGTAGACTTGTTGAAGGTGCTCACTACCATACCTGATATCCAAAGCTGATACGACTGCTTCACAATCCTTCTGCTCATTCACTGGAATATTTTGCAGAATTTCGAAGGCCTTTTTTTGTAGTGTCAGTATGAGAGCTGTTGGTTTATCTTCATTTCTCCATCCATTATCTTCCGCAGCAGCCTCAAATTGTCTGCGATGAGTTGACCATGAAGATTTGCCATCGAAAGTTGGAGTTTTAATAAAACTACTGCTAGAAGGGAAAGATGCCGTTTACAATTTGCATTTTTCCACAGAAATCGTCTTCGGTTCCGGTAATTCTTTCCTAAGTTTCCGGAAAACCTCTTCAAACTTTTTGTCGACTCCTTCCAACTTTTTGTCTTCCAACTTTTTGTCGACTCCTTCAAACTTCTCTTCAAATTTAGTTTCAACCCTCTCAAACTAATCATCGACTAATTTTTCCAATCCCTCTCCTTTCTTTCCTGAAATGCGCTTCCAAATTGTTCCTGAATATTTACCTGTTTTTCTTGAAAATCTATTAGTAATTTACGATCTTCATTTCTGTGTAACTTTTATTCCTTCCCCCGTCGTTCATATTCTTCATTTCGGCGTTTTCGTTTTTCCGCCAGGCCCTCTTGCAAAGCCTCGAACTTTTTCTTAAGGTCTTCCATCTCGTCGTAATCGACACTCTTTGTTTTCACCATAAAACAGATTTTTGCTCCATCACTCCTTTTTTTCCCTAACTGAATACATTAAGTTGAATATCAGAACTACATCCCATGACCGATAGACAAATTTTCCACACTTTTAATTTGTTTTATATGTATGCTCCATCAATTATTTAATGTTTTATGTGTAAATACCTTACTATTCAAACTATATCTATCTTTTTATGACTACCATTGGACTTATTTCATGTATATGCTTCATGGATATAATAAAATTATCTATCTTTCCTATATTATGTTGGAATGCATTCGATTGAGATGATGGATTCTGTTGATATGAACTCTTTCAAAGTTTTCATGAAGAAGTGGACAATGCTTCCGTTGGCAGTTATTCTCTTCCTTTTTCGCTACTTTTGCTATAAAAAGTTTGTTTTCACCATAAGAATGCTATGCATTCCTAGCAAAACCTTTTATTGCGATATGGTCTAATACATATAAAACTGTGGCCTCCCTTGGTTCTTCCATTTATAGATGGACCCATATACAATTTAATGAACAATTTAAACACACATTATTAAACTTACGATTGTCCCTAATTCAAACAGATAAAAAGAAGAATTTTTCAATATTAATTTTTCTTTCAAATTTTGACAATTTTTTACCAACAATTTTCTCCTTCAGACAAGATTTTTATGCATAAAGCATGAATTATGACATTGACCGATCAGAATTTTGAGTTTGTTTCAAACATTTTTATAAAATGTATGGATTTCGAACCCCTTAAATGAAACCAGTCTTAATGGTATTTATCAACAGCTTATCTTTTGAAAAATTAATTTAAATAATTTTCTGGAATGGTATCAGTAACCTTAAGAAAACATATGTGGTTGTATATTCTTTTTGAGTACAAAGCTGAAAAAAATTCCGTCAGTGAACTTTTTTACAGATTTCCTTCCATACATATTATTTTGGTTAATGAAGTTCAAAAATCCATGAAAATTTAATGTTTTTAGTTGGATTTGTGCTAGAAATTCCCGATAAATGTAAATCACATCAAATATAGAAGTGCATTTAATGTAATAAGAAAAAAACATTTAGCCTAATTATTTTAAAACATATCATCATGAGTCAGGTCTGACATTAAGTGTAAACCTCGCTCTTTTAATGCCTTTGAAATTAATCTTTGTTTCTCTTGTTTCAACTCTTGCTCCTTTCTTTGGGAATCTAGTATATCATCTACAGATACTTGTGTTAATGGCAGCTCAACTTCTCTAGAAGAATCCTGAAAAATGATTTCAATATTATTTTAGATATGCTCAATAAGAAACTCACAATTTCTCCCAGCAATACAACATTTTCCCCCCTCACAATGAAAACTCCTCTCGGTATATCTCCATATTCTTTGCCTACATGTATTCGTTCTATTGTTTGGTGAAGAACCAAATTTGCAAACTGATCAACACTTCTCAAATATCCAATTAGTGTTCTTCCATCCCGCAACAAAACCATCAATTTTTCTGTAAATACGGTGGTAACTTATATCATCCTGATTTGCTATAACATTGTCAATAAAAATTTAAAAAATGAAAGATATATGTGGAAGGTTTTGAATAATAAATAAAAATTAAGAAACCCTTATTTAATCTTGAGTCTGTAGTTATAGCGTCAGTGAAAAAATATATTTACTATCCAACTCGTCCAGCAAATGAGCAGTTCCTTCTAAATCTAACTTATTCATATCGGCTAACCAGTTGATATTTTTATTAAATTAGCCTTTTGAAAACATATCTTGCAAAAAATTGTTAACCTTATTTCTACTTCTTTTGGTTCTTTCTTATTCCTTTTTGAGCTTGGAACACAAATGACAAATGTTGAGCTGCGATTTGCGATCACAGAACATTCACAGAATATTTTACAACACTGAGACGTTGAGGGCACAAACCACTTACTCTAAGTAGTTTGTAGTTGAGGGGTCAAGTTTCTGTGTTCGAAATGTTTAATGTCATTTTCAGCGATACATTCAAACTTATCAGATATATAATCTGTTGCAGCTGAGGAATTATTACGATGTCATCTTGGCAGGCTGTTAGGTCAACAATTTCAACAATCTTAGCTTAATTTTAGCATGTTCAAGTTCACTAACCCCTTAACGGAATTTTTTTGTATTGTCTTGTCTTTTCCAATTGAAATGTACGTTACTACGGAAGTTCAAAAACTCAAGAGAAAATTACACCTGGGTGCCTATAAAAATATCAGATTTGGCGTTTGAGGCATTTGAAAGTCGTTCAGTAACCCTCATTTGTTGCAGATTTATCATGAATAGAATAGTTGAACAAACATTTTTTTGCTGAAAAAAAAAATAGTCTGTAACCAAAACTGAAGGCAAACATAAAATGAATCATCTTATGAATGGTGACTGTTTCCCGAATCAAGAAAATCATAAAAAAATTGAAAATGATACAGAACACTTCCATTACACTTCCATTTAGTTATCGTGTCTCTCGACACGATAACCAAATTAGCATAATCTTTTTCGACACACGTTTCGCTAACCAAGTTTGTATAATCAGGATGATGATGCTAACTTACTATGACAAACGCGCCTTGGTGAACAGTATTTTGTTTCGGAAAGTGAAAAGTGTTCTCTTCACTAGATTCATTTCACGCCAGAGGATCCAGTTTTAACTATCAAATAAATTACAATTTGTTTCATAGAATACGATGCTCAACTAATAACGTCTCATCTATTTTATTGCTATGCGCACTTCAAACAATTTTGCTGCATGCAGACGATTGTCAAATATGTGAACAATTTTAATAATCCGTATAATTCACAGTTCTCAGGGTGAATTAGGTAATTTGCCATTGTATGTTCGAATGTCTAGTTGTAACTGTAAATGTGTTAATTTTCAGTTTCAACCATGAATACAAAGTCATAATTATAAATAGCGTGCAGTCACAGTTATGTCTATTTTATGTAAAAAACATATCTATATTTGTGTCCCTTCTACAATTTCGCACGTTCCTTTGGAATGTTCTTCTGTCGTATCATCTTCTTAGACTTTTTTTTAACATTTGATCACTGAACATTGGATCATTACCTCCAAATCATGATTTTTTGTTCACCGTTAATATGCCCATGAAAGATACAGAAAAACGCCGAAAGCAACAGAGATGTAAAACTTCGCTCAGAGTTGGAAAAAAAGAGGAAAGGTTTTGATGATTTCATTCTTGTTTTCAGAATAGACAGTCCAAAATTTCTACTTGTCCTAGTCTGAATTTCAAAATACCTATATAAATACCGAAATTATTAACATCAAAATGAGAGTAAATAAGAAATGACGAATGAATAGTGATCAGTTTATAGAAAAATTAGACAAATATCCATGAAAATAATCCAAGACGCCATTCTTTAGATGTCACATTCGTTTTTCAACTACAGAAACCCTGGATATAAACTTACAGCTCCAGGGTAAGAGTGTGTGTGTGGTTTTAACCATATGTTTTCTTCATTCAATCCTGTATTATATTGCATATCGATTCCAAGTATTATTTTCCATTTCTTCGTTAGTTTCAGATTTCGAAGGGAGCTATGCAGATCTTATGACACATATAATTATTTCCCTGGTTCACTGAGTGAGATCTTTTGGATTCACTAGTTATTATGGGTTGCTTGTGTCTTCCGTTTCTATATTTCTTCTAGATCTATCTAATTTGCAATAAATATATGTAACAACGTATATTTGACAATAACCAATGTTCTCCTTATGTATGACGTTCGAAATATGATACCTAGATGTCGCCCACTACGTGGTCATTCCTAATAATCCTAACAATTTAGGCTGCAACGCGATAAAAAAAAAGACGAAGAAATCAGATGTTTGTTGTTTATGTTTCCCTTTGTTTGCATTTCATTGCATTCATTCGCAATATTCCCATATATGCTTAATGGCAGTGATGGTTCTAAGAGTAGTAGTGTAGTTGTTGCCAAAATTTGACTAAAATGGGACATTTAACTGAATTAAGCGATAAATTTTATTACTTCTACAGCTCGTCACTGACGGAAAACATTCAAATTAAAATGTCAGTTCTGAATACTTCAATAAATTTCGTATTTATTAATCCTCTTATTTCAGAGGAACACTGGAAGGGAAAAGGCAGAAACCAGAATATGATCAACTATTACTCGATCCTAAATTGAAATTTTCTGGTCTTTGTCAGGATGGTTCTCCAGATTTGAAGGTAGTTTGCCAAATTTTCCATGAAAATCGCCCTATTAATAGAGCAGTTTCTACTTCATACAAAGCATTCAGTTCAAGGTGGAAGTAAGTGTTTGTTGTAGAGTAGAAAATAGTGATAGGTTTAATCCAACTGTTTGGATAATCGAGTAATCATTCGAATACACTTTTGGTAATAAATCACTAGCAATGTGCAACTGAATCACTCAATAGACAATTCACCGATCATTGTTCGAGGCAATAGTTTTATTCATATATATTGAAACATGAGACCATGTCAAAGAAAACTTCTTTAGTTTGGGAACATTTCAATAAAATTGAAGAAAGAAGTGTCAAATTCAGTATCACAGTAAATTTTTGAAATTCGTTGAGAATAGATATGTGTTCATTCCATTCTTAGACTCTCAGCAACCTATAAGTCATCTACAAATATCAGTAATAAATCTGACTTTCTTAACAGCAGATATTATGATCATAATACAGAGACAGGATCATCTGCAGGAGCACATACAGAAAATACCAAACTTTCAACATCTGCCTGCTTGGTTTCAAAAAGTGGACATCCACCCTCTATACATTAAATGCAAATGAAGCTATTTGAATCTACATGTGCGAAACTCTGTGAAAGTGACTCAATAATATGGACAAAGACTTGTTTAGAAACAAACAATTAACAACCTCTTTCTCTTGTAGAAAATAAAGAATTCATACGATATTCTATAAATATAATAGTCATATGCAAAAGCAAAAAGCACTAAATTATAATATCCTCGTAAACAGCTTGAATTCTATGGGATCTGAGGGTTGGCTCTGGAGTTCTTTCAATCCTACCTTTTGTTAAGAAAACAGGCAGTGGGCATATGTACCACATTATCAGATGATTTAAATCAATAACATTTTTCAGCATCTTCTACCTAATACAGTCATTTGCTTTCCAGGTGATACAGTCAGACTCGGATATTGTTGAACTATATGACAACACGATAAACGAATATTACTGGAGTTTTATCCCAACACCAAACAATCGACTTTGTCCTTTGGATTTCCTAAAAGGCTCTGCAGTGTATGACTTGTTTTAAATACCACCTTCATACTTAGTTCCTTGAAAATCTTTCTAAAGTTTTTCATATATTGGTGGTATGGAACTGAGATATATTTATCTCTGTTTTTGTCTTTTCTTAAAGTCAAGATTTCGTTCATTCTTAACCTAAACTTTTTCTTCTTTATAATATCATCTACAATAACTCTCGACGAAAACCAAGATAAATATATCTCAGTTTCATACCACCAATACACGAAGAACTTTGGAAATATTTTCAAGAAACCAGGTATGAAGGTGGTATTTAAAACAAGTTATACACTATGGAGCCTTTTAGGAAATCCCAAGGACAAAGTCGAGAATACTAAAAAGTCTGGAATTTTCGAAATTACATGTAAGGACTGTGATGCAAAATATTATGGACAGACTAGAAACTATATTAAAATAAAATGTAAGGAACACTTAGCACACCTAAATGTGGAATACCAGAAAAATCAGCAGTAGGCCATCATATTTTGCAACAAAACCATTCTTTACGATAAGTTAGACTGTATTAGACAAGATGCCTGTTATTGTTATAACTGACATCTAGATGCCTACGAGAGTTTAGAAATACATACGTATTTAGTTTAATCTTCCTCTTGAAGATGATCACTTGGTGATCCAAACACCTGTCGAGGTGTTAAAATAACGGTTTAGTGTTGGGATAAAACTCCAGTAATATTCATTACTACACCAAAGGTTCCAAACAGTGCATCACAAGGACATTAAAAACATTGAAAAAATGCTGAGATCTAGTTAACAAGCAAAAACTTGAAATTGAATAAGGATAACACTAAAAAAATCACAATCTCTTCAAATAATTTTTGAACTACTATCAAATGTTCTTGGCTGTTGGCTAGAGGGCGAAACTTACAGCCCCTATATTTTCAAAAGCACGCCCTTTAGTCAAAAACCAGTATCTTCTTCATGATAAGTTGATGTGATACTATGACAGAAAGAAGATGAAGTCATATATGTTGTGCTACTCCTGCGAAGCTGGGCCGGTTCCCTAGTTAAAATTGTAGATATGGCCGCATAACTTATTAATTAACAAATAACTAATTAACTAACTAAATAACTAATTATTTCGTTGCAGCAAAAGGATTTTTTTTCCACACAATTGATTGATCAGTTTATAGAAAAATTAGACAANTCTGAACACTCTAGATTATTCCAGAACATACTAGAATGTTTTGGGCTGTTGTGGAATGTTTTGAACTACTATCAAATGTTCTTGGCTGTTGGCTAGAGGGCGAAACTTACAGCCCCTATATTTTCAAAAGCACGCCCTTTAGTCAAAAACCAGTATCTTCTTCATGATAAGTTGATGTGATACTATGACAGAAAGAAAATGAAGTCATATATGTTGTGCTACTCCTGCGAAGCTGGGCCGGTTCCCTAGTTAAAATTGTAGATATGGCCGCATAACTTATTAATTAACAAATAACTAATTAACTAACTAAATAACTAATTATTTCGTTGCAGCAAAAGGATTTTTTTTCCACACAATTTATGTTAATAATTCACTATTTTAAAATATTGGTAACTATTAACTCAATAACCTGATGTAGACCGAAAGAAATTCATTTGTATGTTCAGAATTGCAAATAGAAAAGTATCAACTGCACCAAAATTGCTAAATATTCATTTTTATGTATCGCTATAAAACATATCTTTTCTCAATATCTTTTTAATGTGAAAATATTTTTTCTGTGGCAAAAAACTAGTATGGAGTAAATTCCCTTCAAATATAATAAATACCAATATATAGAATATGATAATATAATATCACCTTCAATTATGTTATTCAAACAAGTTGAAGATGCGCCAGAAAAAATGAATAGTCAATAATCAATTCAAGGAATTATCAATAAATCCTACCTATTCTAGCAAAGAAATAGTTACAGAAAAGTATCTTACCTTGCATTCTCATAATTTTCATTTTCTCACTTTCCACTTCTAATTTTAGCATATCTATGAGTCAGTTACTTATCTTTAATTAAAATCTGATGAGAATCATCAAAATAAATTACTCAATTATATAATATAATGGCAATCTGTTTTGAATTACATACCATGGATTTGGAAGCCAATACTCTCATGATTTTTTGAGAATCATTCTCCCACAAGGTTGTTACAATTATTTTTATAGTACTCTTTTTGTAATTGAACATATAACCATCACGTCGACTCTCCCCACTCCGTGTATTCATTATTTTCTGCCTCGTCATCTTCCAAATTTATTATGTATGTTCACAGAACAATTTTTAATTTCTTCCCGTAAGTGGTTATTTTTTCAGAAATATTTCAGCACTCCCTTCAGTTGCACAAAAAGTACATTCAACACCCCGTATTAGTTCCCAATTTTCCAATACAAAATTTTCATGTTTCTCTGCGAGTAATACAATGTTTTTCAAAATCCATCATTAACGATTTTTATAACACCCTGTATTCGATTTCCCATTTTTCAACATCGTATATTCATAATTTTCTGCTTGATGTGATTTTTCTGTATTCATTATAACAGTGTATGATTTCTTTAACACTGTATACCCACAATATTTTTCTGTTGTTTTTAGTATTCATCATCCTGTAAAATATTATAGATCATGTGCACTCTGAGTCCACAAACTTCTTTTAATTTTTTCCTGCTTGAAAAATACGTTCAACATCCTGTAGTAGTTCTCACTGTCCAATACCCAATATATTTGTTTTTATGTCAGCAATAACATGTTTTTTGAAATACACCATTTACTAAAAAATGAAAAATAAAACTATGTTTTTTCACCACTTGTATTTTTAACTAACGTTACTGCAGTTTCGTCCTATTAGGACATTTTCAAATGCAGTANAGATATATTTTACAAATTATACCAAGTTTTAATAATTATTGTAACCACAAAAAATTCATTTATTTACGTTCAATCACTCAAAATTTTTTCAATATGAACAATAACGCCTAAATTTTTTATTGAATAGAGGAGTCTTTTTTAAACGAATTCTCTACACGTTCCAGCATATCCGCTGGGATTTCCCTGAAAGCTCTAGTGATTCTTTGTTTCATGTATTCTATAGATGTTGGAGGAGTTTGGTAGACAATCCATTTGATATACCGCCATAAAAAATCAATTTCATCAGGTCCACCCTTACTGCACCGTCTTGTTGTAGACACATTCTAAGTCTTATTCTACATGGAACCTTGTCCAATAAATTCGAAAAGTCATGCCGAAGAAATCTTACATATTTTTTCCAGTGAGATGCCATTCCAAAAAATACGGGCCGATAACTCTTTTTCCGAGAATTCCACCCCAAACATTCAGTGACCAACGTTGTTAATAGTTCAGGCAACGAACAAAATGGTGGTTTTCCGTTGCATAATGATGCATGTTATGTCGATTCACAGTTCCATTTAGATGAAAAGTCGCTTCATCAGAAAATAACACGAAATCGAAAAAATCATTTTTCTGATTGATCTTTTGTAAGCTTCATCGGCAAAATTGAACGCGTTTTTCAAAATATCTTCCTCTTAACTCTTGCATCAATTGCATGTGGTAAGAATGAAATTTGCTTGCTCGTATCATTCAAGACATGCTCAGATCCCCGGAACTCACATGGAGATTTTCAACAAGGTGAAGAACAATTTGAAATGTATTCTCTTCATTTGTTACAGGGCAGACACGTTCGAACTTTTCGTGAATGACATTACCACTCCTTTCAAATCTTGTTTTTTAGAGTCTGAAATGCCCTTTCATCTAGTTGTCTTCTTTCGGTGAACTTCTTTTCGTAAATCCTAGATGCAAGGAGGCAGTTTGCATCATATCTTCCAATACATAATTTATAATGAAAAATTGTTATAATTTGTGAAATATCAGTTTTTCGTGTAGTATACCTCTGATAAAAAATGTAGTGAAATCTTGAGGCATTTCATACAAGTGAAAAAATACAGGGTGTTCCATTTGAAAAAGTTGAATTATGTCTGTTTGAAAGTGAATGAAACTTGACCGGTTTTATCGAGCACCCTATATATTATTTCCGAAAGTTGAGATTCCAGAAATTATCATAGTGATGATATTCTTAAAAAAATCAACTTAATTGCTGTAGACATGCGGGTGGTGAATAAAAAAATATTGTCTGCAAAAAAGGTTTTTCTGGAATAACTTGGCAATGCCGCAATGGAAATTCGAAAACAAAAATTCGTTAGAGAGATAAATTAACTTTTAGATATGTAATTTGTGTTTCATTTTGGATTGCAAAATATTTCTTTTAGATGATTTAGTTTTTACACTATTCAACTTGATATAATATACTATGTTGTATTGATTATTGTCTGTGAGAGGATTGAACAATCTCTTGTATCATTGATTATATTATTATAACTTTGATGAACAATCTCATATAAAATCATTTTTTTATGAAACCTGTTTTGTGGATACTTTCAGTTGGAATGAATGGATCACTCTACCTGTCAAATTCAGTGTTTTACCGAGGGATTCTCAGCTTGTTATAACTATTTATGATTGCTATGGTCCAAAAATAATGATTCCGGTGGGCGGAACTACAATATCATTATTTAGCAAGCATGGTTTATTTCGACAGGTGATTTTTATTTATTATTCTACTTATAATTGCATATAATTTATTTATGAAAATAATTACCAAAGTGACCAATAAAACCAATCACCAGAAAACTCTCAATTTATATCTAACAAACAANTGCCATAGGGTCCCATTTAAAATTTTTGGTCACAGTGGCCTTGTGACGTCATTTATGACTATTGCGTCACCTGTTATGACCAGTTAAGAAGCCTACATCCGTTTATTTCCACCCTCCAAATTTCATTATTATAAGTATACCCGTTCCAAAGATACGAGGGGGGGAGGGGACTTTTGACTAGCACTGTATTTAAATTTGTGGGAACTACCACGAGAAAATTTCCCACAAATTTCACCCAAAATCATTGATGTGTATCGGAAAGTGAACTATTAGAAATAACTTGAGACTTTTAGAGTTAGGAATTACTTTTCTTCATCTCTTGAAGACGTAACTTAGTTGTTAAAAATCTCTTCGGGAGGAGTATTGCATTTCTGGTGATTAGGAAAAGTGCTTGTTTTCTATTCCAAAGTGACTGTGTTATCAAAAGTTTAATTTCGAATGATAAACTTTCAGGGAATGCTCGACTTGAGAGTGTGGCCTAATAAGGTAGGGGATGGTAATTTTCCTACAACTACACCAGCCAAAGTGAAAAATAATGGAAAAGATCAAATGCAAAGATTGGCGAAACTGGCTAAAAAACATAGGAATGGTCATATTACAAAGGTAATTATAGTGAAAAATCTAAAAAAATATCGACGCCTATATTTTTTAGGTAGATTGGCTGGATAGATTAACATTTAGAGAACTGGAAATGATAAACGAAAAGGAAAAAAGATCATCTGAATACTTTTACTTGGTGGTTGAATTTCCTTCAATAACTTTCAACAATATACCCCATCATATTGTTCATTTTGAGCAAAATGGCGAAGAAATCATATCTGTGAAATCTCATGGAGATTTGGTAACTTCTCCTGATCCAGAGGTTTTGAAGGTAATGTTTTATATATGCTTCTGGATATTTATACCAAATTGTTCACTCATGTTATGAAATATTTCTTTAATTTTCCTAGATTTTGCAACTTTTAGAAATTGTTACTTTGTTCAATTTGCCATACTGAATCAAACAATCACTGAAGTGACTACAGATTCATATTCAGCTAAATTGGAATTTCCAAATATCGATTTCAAAAGAAAAAGCATACTTGCATTAAAACATATAAAAATCAGCGAGATTCAATGTAGTCGTTTGATTGAAGAAATTTTTTTTCAATTGCGTCAAAAAAAAAGAACTAATCGTTGAAAATATTTTTTGTTTATGAATATTTGAAAAACAATGTTCAGAGGAAGTGAAAATAGATCTCTCTATTATTTCAACAAAAAGGCCTGAAAACGATTATAAAATTTAACTTACACCCAGTTTTTGCACTTAACAAATTTCTAAACAATTTTGTTTTGGAGTTTTAATCACACACAGACACAATTCACGCTGATTTTTTGTTATCTTATTGGCAATTCATATTCATCATTTACTTGGAGTACATGTTCAGGATAATTCATCCTGACTATAATGGGATTATTAAACAGGGAGAGTCGAAACACCTTTGAAGGAATGTTAAAATTTTGCTTAAATTGTTGAGATCCGTTTTCTTATATATACATTTCTACTTAAATACAAGAAAGATAAAAGAAAATTACCCAGTATTAACAACTTTCATACATGACACTCTGCTCAATTTTTTTTCTTTTTTTCTGTTCAATTTGTTTAAGTTCCTTCATTATTCTCTCGTTAGAAAGTGTTCCATATTTATATCTTTATAAAAAAAATGTAATCTACTGTAGTTCTACTGACGAAGGTAATGAATTTACCTAAAGCTTTACAGATATCAAAGAGTCTTCTTTATAACAGCCCTACCAATTCAACTGCAACCTCACACAATAAATCGATTTGTATTAAAGCCAGTCACGAATCTGTGTGTTCTGCACTTTCATTTTTTTGAATGAAAGATTCTGGCAATCATACTTCAACGTCTTTGTTAATGGCTAAAACAAGAGTCACTTCAAACTCATGATAGTACCCAGAATATTGATAAGGCACTACCACTACCATGAACTTACCATTAGAAAAGACAACAAATTATAAACCATTTGAGGGAGAGGTTTCGGAAAATCAACTTCAGGTTACCAATAGAAACGTGTATAATTAGCATGCATTATATGTAGAAAAAAAAATAGTCGCACTTGAAACAGATGGAGCTAATTACAGATTTCAGAAATATTTGACAATTCAAACCATTTCATTAGTTCGGACTTCCATTGTCTAGTATGTTACAAAATTGATTTGCACCACGAAACATTGTCAACCACCTTCAAACAAATTCAAACCATTGTTAATTGGTATGGATCATTTTGGTCCAATGACAGTCGGGATTGACAGAAAAAAGAAAAAGAATCAATAGGTTGTCTTCGCCTACATGTCAACGAGAGTAATTCGTTTTTTACTTCCCTTATCACGGACTCTGTCATCCTGTCAATTCATGTCAAAATAATGAGACTGATAGCGAAGTCTAGCTGAGACTATTCTACTATTATTATTACGCCTCAAAAGAAATTCATTATAGTGAATCAAATAATTAAATTATATTTGACCGCTTCGTTATCAGAGAGATTGAATAAATATGAAAGGTTATATGATTTGGCGCATAAAATTGTTTCAGTAATTAAGAGTGCATACTCTTACATTATACGTAATATGTACATGTACATTATATGTACATATATGTAATGTGTAGAGTGGTTTGAGAATTTGTCCTGGTGACTTTGATTGTTTGGAAAGTCAGAATTTTTTCATTTTATATTTAAATTCATTAGTATTATATATTTTGAACTCTTCTGGTAACATATTGTACATACGAATTGAATTCAAATGACCCTTGAAAAATTGCTGTGCTGTGCTATGCTGATGCATGAATCTGAGGCCGAGGAGTGAAACAACAATAATAATAATATTTATTTACTTCTCTCCTTAAAAAGTATAAAAATGTCTTTTACAAAATAGCAGGAAAACATAATAAATATAATACAATACAAATTTAAAAACATTCACAGTCATTTACATATGAAAGGGCAAAACATTTTGATAATAGCTGCCCTGCTAATGTGAAGAATTATTGATTTGCAAAAATTCATTGATATTATAGCGGTTTTTTAGGATAAGATTGGTTTTCATTCTCAATTTTTTAAGGAATCTGTACATGACTGTTGTCATTCTAGATCATCAATGCTTCTGATAGCATATTTTTGGAATAAAAAAACTCTTTGTGCGGAAGATACCGTCCCCCGATATAGAATTCCGTATCTTATATGAGAATTGATGGTCGCATAGCATAGACTTAGCAAAACTTCCTTGCTGAAGTGATTTTGCATGAATCTTAGTGCGTAACAATTTATTTCAATTTATCGCAGAGTAGGTCAATATGTGGATTCCATGTAAGTTTGTGATCTACGGTGAGAACAAGCATTTTTGTTGTTGAGCAAGACGTAACCTCCAGAACGTTATATTTAAATATTGTGTGTCGTTTATATTACCTAATGAATATTTCATTAGCACTGTTTTATTGATGTTGAGTGGTAGATGATTATTGGTAGCCCAATTTTTTTATAGACCAATTCAGTTATTTCTGGAAGTACTATAGGATTGTTTGCTTAAATCAAAAGGTTAGTGTCTTCTGCATATACAACTATATGAACCATCTTAAGGTCATGAAGATACGTTATTAGATCGTTAGCATAAATTAGAAAGAAAAGTGGTCTCAGTATGGATCCCTGAGGAACATCCTGTTTCATTGTTATTGATTGACTTTTCACACCTTGTATAATGACTTGTTGTTTCCTATTTTGAAGATATGTCTTTATTAAATCTTGAGCAATTTGTTACCCAATTTTTGTATTTTTCGAATTGTTTACCACATGGTTTTTGTTTTGTTAGTAGCAGAGTTTATTTTGCGATTGTTGAATATGATGTTGTTATTCCTGAGTTTCTCCTTATAAGTTTTAGTTACCTGTCTACTAATATTCTTATACTTATTTGCTCTAATTCTGAATACAGAGACACCGATTTTTTCAATTCAGCGAGTTCCTTGGTCATGGGGGCTGATTTGCTATTTTTTCGTTATTGATTAGGGAAAGCTACCTCATCAATGTAATATTGAATATTTTGGTGAAATATATCATATGCTTTGAACATAATTTTCGCTAACTAAAAGTCTTTTGAAAGTTGAAATATTTTCTTCTGAGATCTGTCTTCTATAGCTAATTTTAGACTTTGTATCATTTTCATGTACTTTACTAAGAGGAATATTAATTATTTGGGCACAGTGATTCGATATATGGAAGTCTTTGAGTGATACATTGTATCCAGGCATGTCTTCGAGGTGCAAGTTATCGTTGTAGGGACGGATATAGTACTCTCTAGGTCGAAAGAAGCTAATTGATCTTGTATAAGATTATCATATTGAAGTCGCCACCTATAATCACTTTATCATTATTTTTCCAAATAAGTGTTAGGATGCCATTAAGGGAATTCAAAAATATTTCAACGTCCCTAGATGGAGGTCTATATATACACACTAGTGTAGTTTTTTTATTTGAATCCACAGCATTCAAAAACCACTTCTATATAGTTGTATTTCTCCTCTGTATCATATCCGAGAAATGACAGAGCAGTGTCATCATTACAAATATTGATAGTTTTTAAAGAAATATTACTTTTGGTTAAAGTTAAAAATTGTTTTACATTTTCTAGAACAGTACACTTACTTCCTTCAACTTTGTTGACAGTTGAGTATCTCAACGAGATACGAGAATTATGTTTTTTCTAGTTGAATATTTGCTTCGACAACTATCTGATAATGATTTAGTCTATTTGTGTGTGGCGTTCAGAAATGAGTGAAATATTCATAATTTTGCACAGTGGTTAAATTAGCAAGGTACACGTTTTCATTAATACTAACATTATTAGTATTAAACGAAAATATAACATAATCTTCTTGACTAAAGTGTCAGCAAAGAGGTTACCTCTTAAATGCGAGAGTATTACTATATTAGCATTGTTCATTTCTTCATTTAGACTCGTCTCTGATGTTTTTCTTTCAATTTCAGTATTTGTACTTCGCCCTGTTTTCTCCTTTTCTCCGTTTGATTGTCCATTAGTGTTATTTCTCAGTTCGGTCGCTTGTATGTTTTTATATTCCTTCCCGTATACCTATTATTCTGTGTGCGTCTGGCTGTGTATATGTTGAGTCAACCTTCATATTTTTTATTGTCACTTCTTCTTTGACATCATTTTGTTTTGTGTTTGAGTAGAGGAATTCGCTGTATTCTTTTCTGAAATTGTTTGGACCACCTACTGAACTTTTTTCCACCGCATTTCTCTGAATATCAATTGATTTCATCGACTTATTTTGTAGTGAATGAATATTCCTTCAAGATTTTTAATGTAAACTTTGGCTTCTGAAATAATTCTTCTTGCTTTCTAATCAATTCATTTAACTCACTTTCTACTTTTAGTGCTTTCTCCATCATTATATTTTTCTCCTCACTCTGTTTTTACAATGAACTTATTCTTTGCTTGTGTTTCCTCAGACAGTTCTTCTATGGTCTGCTCTATAAAGCTAATTTCTTCTTCAAGTACCTTAGGTTTGTCACAGCAGTTTATTATGTGATCTTTAATAAATTTAAAATTCTCTTTTAGTTTTAAAATGCATGACTTGTGAAATACTCTGAAGCAGTTTTCACAAATTAGATAAGCAGGCATCCAAAATTTGCCATTTTATTTGAGACTAAACTGGATTTTCATTATTATCTACGTTTATCTAGTTCATCTCAGGTTATATGCATTTCACTATAAAGTTTTTGGATTAAGGAAAGTTAACCCCACACACAGATGTGATTTTTTTATAATACTACTATAAGCTTTTCTAACAAAAATACTGT